CGGGTCCCCACACACACAGACCCCGGGTCCCCCCACACACACAGACCCCGGGTCCCCACACACAGACCCCGGGTCCCCACACACAGACCCCGGGTAGACCCCGGGTCCCGCCACACACACAGACCCCGGGTCCCCCCCACACACAGACCCCGGGTCCCCACACACAGAGACCGTGGATGCGAACTGTGTGTGTGGCTCCAGTGACCCAGGACAGACTCCTGTCTTGAGTGTCCTGCCACTGTGGAAAAAAACCTCCCAGAGGAACAAAGGTCACCTTTAAAACTGTTACACAAAAATAGAAAGTTGAAAACAGTGACAAGATTGAATGGCTTATTTCCCACTGATAAGAAATTCTGTGTGTCCATGCCCAGCCTTCACCTGGCTTCCAGCAACTGACAGCTTTTCCTCTGGAAGAAAACCAAGGACACTGCCAGGTATTTAGGAGGGATTTGAAGGGCAGAGACCCCAGGCATCTGTGAGGGTCAGGGACCCCAGTGTGTGTGATCACAGGGACCCCAGTGTCTGTGATCACAGGGACCCCAGTGTGTGTGATCACAGGACCCCAGTGTGTGTGATCACAGGGACCCCAGTGTGTGTGATCACAGGGACCCCAGTGTGTGTGAGCAAGGACCCCAGTGTGTGTGATCACAGGGAACCCAGTGTGTGTGAGCAGAGGGTCCCCAGTGTGTGCGAGGGTTAGGGATCCCAGCGTCTGTGGACAGAGCTGATAGGACAAGTCGGTGTGTGTGCTGTCATCTGTGGTTCCGTTAGTCATGTGTGGGTTGGAAGACTTTCTCCTGCCCTTTGGCAGATTCCCATGGTTTCCGATGAGAAGTCAGACTTCATTGTTGGTGTTCGGCTAGTAGCATCATGGTGTTTGCTTTCCCCTCCCCCCGGCTTGTTCATTTCTTTCCAGACTCTTCCCTCCCCCCGTTTCCCATGACTCTCTCAACTTACCTAGTCAACACCTCAGACCAAGCCAGTGCTTTGCCCAAGCCCTTTCACCTCCTTCGCTGTTCACTTGGGGTAAGATGTACATCCTAGTTGTGTCCTCAGCAATCATGGGCGTAGGTTGCTGATAAATGCAGCAGAACAGAGAAAGTACGAGGGGATCGACGCAGCTCCTGAAGGGTCTACGGCGGCCGCACGGGGAGACCAGGCACCGTAAGTCCCGGTGTCAGAGATGGACGGCGTTCCGCCATGAAGACATTCTGTGAAAGCTTCATTCCACTCTCAGCTTTCTCCTCCTGCAAAGGGCCCAGTGTTGAAAATACCTTATTTATCGTGATCAATATTCCACGAGGAAGAAATAGGAGCTGGAAGTAATTCAACCTTACATTCTAATTCAAGAAATGTTAGTAAAGCTGGGGTCAGGTGTATCTGCTTTAGAAAGAAAGATTGTTCGCTCACGGAGAACCGGTCTGATACACTGGCTCAGAGACATGCAGAGAAGTTTCATAATTCCTCCTTTTTCCTTTCCCCTCTCTTTCCACCTTCACTGGCAAAGCTCTGATGAAATTCACTTCAGAGGGGTTATTAAAATACAACGTAGTGTGGACCTTGGTTTTCAAAACATTGGGTTTTGTTTGTGAGGTTTTGTTGTCTCACAACTCCCTGCGGCAATCAAAAGAGAAACAGGTTACGTGAATTAATCTGCATTATTTTCTTGAAAAGTGAGCAGAAGTATAAATAGAATTCCATTTTTGAACTTGGCTTTTGAAAGTCTGCATGATAGAAAAAAAGAAATGTGCTGGATCACGTGTCTATTATTAGTGAATTCGCCAGAATAACAGTGGCTCGTCGCTAAGTCCTGGAGCTGCAGTTTCTTAAAGCTCAGCTACAAAGTACCAGGATATGCTCTTCTGGACCCATGGTGACCACAAGCATTGAGTGTGCTCACAGTGCCCATGGTAACAGTAAGACAGTGTGTGTTCCCAGTCCCCATGGTGACGTGACAGTCCCTTGCTGATGACACGCCTTGTGTGTTCCAGGCCCATGGTCACACCCTGCAGTGTGTTCTCACTGGTGCTGATGATGGGTCTGTCTCGACATCTGTGGCAGGAGTTTACCTGCCCAAGACAGCCAGCACACCTAGCGTGGGGGGCCTTCCAAATCATCCCTGTACTGGAAGCCTATAAAAAATAGTAGCTACAGGGGCTGGGAAGGTGGCGCAGTGGTAGAGCGCTAGCCTTGAGCTGAAGAGCTGCAGGACAGCGCCCAGGCCCAGAGTTCAGGCCCCATGACCGGACCCCCCCCCAAAAAAAATAGTAGCTACAGAACTTCTCCACGAGCAAGCCTCTCTTCCCTCCCTGAACGACATGAGCTCCTGAGATACAAGGGTTGTCCACCTTCGTCTGTGTAACGTGCTGCAGGTGTTGGCTAGGAGTGCAGGTACCACTGTTGCTTGGTGCCAGCGCTGAGCCGCCTCTTCTCCCTCCCACAGGTTAAGTGCCTTTGAGGTGGTGGCGCAGGATGGAGCCAGCTCCGGCGTCCTCCAGTTCTGCTCGGCTCAGGAGTGCGCTGAGTGGCTGTGCGCGGTGTCGGCCAACATCAACAATCTGGTCCTTCACAATGTGAGCACAGCCCCCGGGACAGGACAGTCACAAAGGACGCACGTCACTGCAAATGACCCTCCACAAGGCTGGCCCTGCAGGGCGCGCCTGACCCCAAGGCTAAAGCTTAAGCCATCTAGAGATGTCCAAAGGAAGAGCAGACCGATCACATGCGGATATTTCCCCATCCCATGAGCTTTCTCCTCTCGGCCCCTCCCCTCCTTTCCACACACAAGCACAGGAACTGTTTCATGCATACACATTGGTGTAATATGTACGTGTACTCGAGGATGTTTAATTGGGTTAAAAATGTAATTACCCAAAGATGATGGAAATGTACAGGAAAGCTTCCTGAACCAAAAACACTAATCTGGGCCAAGAAAACAAATCTGTGCTCTTGAGTGATGAGTTTGATGTTTAAAGTCAAGAAAACTTCTCAAAGAAGAGAATTAATGAGACAGGGGAGAAGCAGACCCAGTTTCTGTAAGCCTCAGCTAATCCAGGCTGGCAGGGGAGTCGGGCAGCACTGGCACCTGGCCAAAGTGGCCGGTGCCAGGCCCGCCTTACCCCTCCCGGCACCGTGGCCAGTGCCAGGCCCCACTTTACTCCCCCCAGCACTGGCCAGTGCCAGGCCCCGCCTTACCCCTCCCGGCACCGTGGCCAGTGCCAGGCCCCAGGGCCTTGTCCCTCCCAGCACCTCTACCCTGTTCTCACACCCCATGTCTGGTGTGGAGTGGAGCAGCCTGGCTGGAGGGCATACACCAGCCCTGCTGACCTGCACCCTGGCCCTGCCTGTAGCTGGCCACCCTAGCAGCTGCCAGCAAGGGAGGCATGTGAGATCTCTGGGCTGAAGTAAGATGTGAGAGTTCTATTCTGATGACCTTTCCATTCTGAAATTATATAAGAAAGTTCCTTACTAAAGTTGTAGTTTTCATGTTTTGATACTTTGAATTCCAAAAATATGCAGGTGGATAGAAGTTAAAAAGAAACAGTGGCCGGGTGCTGGTGGCTCACGCCTGTCATCCTAATTACTCAGAAGGCTGAGATCTGAGGATCTCAATTCAAAGCCAGCCCAGGCAGGAAAGTCCATGAGACTCTTATCTCCAATAAACCACTAGAAAACAGGAAGTGGCGCTGTGGCTCAAGTGGAAGAGCGCTCACCTTGAGCTGAAGAGCTGAGGGACAGCGCCCAAACCCAGAGTTCAAGGCCCACGACTGACAAAAAACAAACAAACAAAAACCCAGTGATGCCAGATCAGCACTTGCATACATGCTGTGTGGACAGGGCTGCATGTGTGGTGGTTCCCCATCTGCTCTGTGGGATGGGGTGGTGAGGTGAGGTGGGGGGGGAAGAACAGGTACTCTAGTTGTCCCTGGGCTTGTTCTGCTCCTACATAAATCACGGTAATGTTTTAGGAACTAAGATTGACCTCCCAAGGTTTGGAGAAACGTAAGGGAAACTCAGTGTGAGCTTTGATCATTGCCCATCACATGTTTTCCAAATGCTGAAATCTAACCCTCTGCTTGTGTCACAGCTAGACTTGTATCAAATGCTGAGATTCGGGAAAGAAAGATTGTGATGTGCTTTAGACAGGCTAGAGACCGAAGGCATGAGTATACTGTGTGCTGACTCTTTGCTACCCTTTCTCTACAGATGAAGATGGCAAATAAATGCTGCTCTCCTTCGGACCAGGTAGGAACCGCGGGTTTCACCTTCATTCTGTAACAAATCACCAAAGTAATCAGATCCTTTCTTGCAAATGTGAATTGGACATTTAGACAGGAATTAACTATAATATGTACTAGATCAATCTGATTACCTGTGACTTCCATGCATAAGCAACTTGTCTATCGGCAGCTGTAAACATTTTATAAGAAAACACGTTGTACTGTATAATTTAGGACGGGTCTGTTGGACGTCATCCTTATGATGACAGGCGTTAATGCTGGTGTGATCCTGACCCCGTGCCCTGGTCCTGGGGGCTTTGCTGTCACAGTCCCAGTGTCTAGTGCTCCTGCAGGCCCCTCTTCAGACCCGCCAGCCCTCAGTCATCAGCCTTACTGGCTCAGTGAGGACAGCTCTGTTTGGTGCAGCTCGGTGGAGACCAGCCACAGCCATTGTAACAGAGCCGTTTCAGTGTGAGGCCGATTAATTTTAAGCCACTACCATTCTGTTTCCTTTCTAATAAACTTCTGGTTTTATTGGATGGCAGTGCCTGGGATTAAGCTATTTTGTACGTTTTCATTATAGTTCAGAGGAAGCAGGCGCGGAAGGGCATCTCTGTTTGATGCCTGCCAACTTGGCAAAGCTCAGTAGCAATGTGAGGATCCAAGACTGGTTTCTAGAAGGAAAAGTGCACTATCCAGGTGCACTGAAAATCATGGGGCACTCAGGCTGCTTTGAATTAGACCCACTAGTCTATATTCTTACCTTAGGTAAGGAACACTAAAAAATGTCCTGAATAGAACTTTTAATGTTTCTCCAAATTAATCAACTGTTTACCTTTTATGCAAGTTGGTGGAGGTTAGACATTTCACAAATGTCTCCCATGTAACATGGGATTTATTTTACACTTCTACAAAATCCGCGTTCTCCGCTGCGTGCTGGCGTCTGAGCGGAGTTCTCATGGCCTCGCTGCCAGCACGCCCCGGCGGCGCCCCTGCTGCTGAGACACCGCCCCGAATCGGCTCTGCCCTCTCTATGCGGTGCTTTCCATTTGAAGCATCATGAAAACTCACAGACTGCATGTCCATGTGTGGAAAATCGGCTCCTGCAAGCCCCGCCGGCCTGGGAGGAATCACAGCGCACTCCTCAAACCAGGCACCCCGTGAGCGGACAGGAAGGCACGAGCCCTCTTTGAGAACAGGCAAGACTTGACTCAGTGATACTGAGCAACACGGGACTCTCACGAGTGTACGGGAATCACCTGTTACTACGGGAAAAGTTTTCCTCTGCAATCATGCCTTGTTTTCCCACTTTGAAATGGCCTCCCTCATCACCACAGGGCAAAAACACAAGAGGGCGCCGAGACCCTGGACCGTCAGAAAAGCCATGGAGCCAGGACCAAGACCTAACAGGCGTGAGGTGGTGGCTCAGCTCGCCTCCGCTCCAGCCCCGTGAACCTGCCCTGCGCCTGGCTTGGTTGACCCTGGTGCTGACAGCCCTCCTCCACTCAGTCCTGCATTCTAATCCAACCCAAATAAGCATGGCCGGTGGAGCCTCAGCATCTCCATCTCTGCAGTAAGGACATCACATTGTGGGTCTTTTTAAACTTTGAATTTCCATGTCACTTTGAATTTTCCCCAGGGTTTGAATTCGTCTGTTTGGCGTGGACTGGGATCAGGAGAGTCTTGGTTCTGGACCAGCCACGGCAGAGAAGACCATGAGACTCCACAGACCTGCCTTTCAACCTCCATACCTCCACTGTGCACATATCCAAAGGAGAGCACATGAATGTGCCAGAAGGTCTCCTGACACCTGTCTACTGTAGCCCTGTTCACAGGAGCCAAGGAAGGATAAACCACGATGCCAACAACAGACAAACAGATAAAGACGCGGCTCTGATGTATACTGCATATGCACTATACATACAGTATATACTATCAAATACTATTCAGCCATGAGACATGGTGTCCTTTTCAGGAAAATGGATGCAAATAAAGGATATCATATTGAGCAAGACAAAACCAGATCCAAAACAAGATATCAAACATGTTCACTCTCGTGTGAAAGCTACATCAAAAAGAAATGCATACTTATGTACATATGTATATATTATGCTCATATACATAATTATGTATGGATAAACATAGAACATGACTCTAAGGGACAATTTAGGAAAAGAAGGGGAAAGGGAAGCAAAAAAAGGAAAATACAGGGTGAATAATTTTGGTATATATTGCTACTATGTATGAAAACAGCACACGGCCTCGATAAAAGTTGTTAGTCACTAGTTGGTTGAGGCGAAGAGAAACAGGCTCTGCGGTGGGTGGGAAGCAGTGGGGTCATGGGATAACAAAAAGGAGGAAAATAGTTAAAGTGGACTATGAAAACAGAGCGATGAATCCTGCCAAAAAATGTTAGAGAAAGATGTAAGTGGAAACTAGAAAGTGCTAGTGGACATGACTTTCATTAGAATTCACAGTGTACAAGTGTAGAAGCAATTAATGTAAGTGAATAAAAAGGGTAAAGTTAACCTCCCTTAATACTATTTATGAGCAGTAGTCTAAAGGGAAAAAACATTCATAAAGCAGCCAGTGTTTCCAATAATAGCTTATTTCTGTGCTAATGGAGCTGGACAGTGATATTCTACATAAGTGGTAACTATGTTCACATCTAACTAATTGATGATTCAGATAATTAACAGCATGACATACCAACATGCTTTCCAGAAGAGCAGCTTGTTACTACACAATACGTAATTCTTGTTGAATTAAAGTGCCACTCACGGGGCTGGGAAGGTGGCTCAAGTGGTAGAGCGCTAGCCTTGAGCTGAAGAGCTGAGGGACAGCACCCAGGCCCAGAGTTCAGGCCCACCACCGACAAAACAAAACAAAACAAAAACAATAAACTACCACTCACAGCATAACCAGACCTGAGGAGGAGAACCGCCTGGATGGTATCCAGTTAAAAGAGATGGGGGAAGAGGGGCTGGGAAGGTGGCTCAAGTGGTAGAGCGCTAGCCTTGAGCTGAAGAGCTGAGGGACAGCACCCAGGCCCAGAGTTCAGGCCCACCACCGACAAAACAAAACAAAACAAAAACAATAAACTACCACTCACAGCATAACCAGACCTGAGGAGGAGAACCGCCTGGATGGTATCCAGTTAAAAGAGATGGGGGAAGAGGGGCTGGGAAGGTGGCTCAGTGGTAGAGCGTTTGCCTTGCATGCCTGAGGCCCTGGGTTCGATTCCTTAGCACCACATAAGCAAAAAGAAAAAAGCTGGAAGTGGCGCTGTGGCTCAAGTGGTAGAGTGCTAACCTTGAGCTGAAGAGCTGAGGGACAGCACCCAGACCCAGAGTTCAGGCCCCACGACCGGACCGCCCCCCCAAACAAAAAGAGATGGGGGAAGAGCCAAGCAATAGATGCCGGGCTTCCGGAGCCTCCACTATGATCCCAGGCCAGCAAACAGAGTGACAGCTAGAGGATCATCTACCACACAGAGTGACCCCACTGTACCCCACAGCTAGAGGATCATCTACCACACAGAGTGACC